CTTGTATTTTTTCATGTATTTTTTTATGTGTTAGAGAAACTGAGCTGCGACTCATGTTAGAAATCATGCTTGGGCAAATGTTGTTATTATTGAAACCCACTAAGGTCATTTCTGCTATCGAATTATATGTTTAAATTGTAATTTCGTACTCAGTCATATACATTTGTTGCATATCATATCTCAGTATCTGTTGTTATTTATTGATACATCATATCATCATTTTGGGCTAGTTTCATGACATTGTGAGCCCGAGAGACTAGAGAGATTGATGACTGAGTGAGGCCGATAGCCTAATTTTGAGGTTATTGATACTATATCACGTGAGTTGTCCGTGCAGATCCAGATATTGATACTATAGCACGTGAATTGTCCGTGCAGTACGTGAGTTATTAGTGCAGATCCAGATATTGATACTATAGCACGTGAGTTGTCCGTGCAACACGTGAGTTGTCCATGCAGATCTAGATATTGGTACTATAACACATGAGTTGTCCGTGCAATACGTGAGTTGTCCATGCAGATCTAGATATTGGTACTATAACACATGAGTTGTCCGTGCAACACGTGAGTTGTCCGTACGGATTATAGCACTAGGACTGAAGGAACCCCTCTGGAGTCTGTACACACCCCTAGTAAGCGCATGTACCTACTAAGTGCGAGTGCCGAGCGATTGGGAGGATTGAGTGACTGGGAGGACTGAGTGACTGGGATGACTTAGTGAAATGATGCTCTGAGAGTATGCATATGGTTTTATTATTGAGTTGCATCGCATTGACTTGCAAACTTGACATACAGTCATAGAGATGCATTTTTCCTCGTGCTGTACGATATTGTGTCATTCATGACTTCTCCTACATATTAACATGTAGGCATAGGGATGTCACTACTAGAAATTTGGCAAAAACCGATCAATATCGACCGACCAACTTTGGTCGGTAAAAAAACCGACCAAAGTTGGTCGGTTTTTCAAATTTTTTTATTTAATTTTTTGTTTTACGAAACCGACCAACTTTGGTCGATTTTCTTTGGCGCAAAAATACGGGAGAGTCCCGCAAAATTTATGTTTCAAGAAACCGACCAACTTTGGTCGGTTTTTCAATTAATATAAATAAAAATTAATATTAAAAAAACCGACCAAATTTGGTCGGTTAATTCGGCGGGTCATTTAAAAAAACCGACCAATTTTGGTCAGTAATTTTACTTTTTAATAAAACCGACCAACTTTGGTCGGTTATTTTCGTGCGAAAATATAATTAAAGAGTATAAATCAAATAAAAGACAATCTTAAAACAAAATGTACCAATGGTCTAGTGATAGAATAGTATCCTGCCACAGTGCAGACCCCGGTTCGATTCCCAGATGGTGAATTTTTTTTTTACATAATTAAAATACTGACCAACTTTGGTCGGAAAAAATCGACCAACTTTGGTCGGTTTTTTTTGCAATATTTTTTTTTTGAATTTAATTGACCGACCAAAGTTGGTCGGTAATTTCCGACCAACTTTGGTCGGTATTTCTTTCCGACTACAAAAATACCGTCCACACGTAAATGATCGCATTTTGGTTGGTTTTTGGCCATTACCGACCAACGTTGGTCGGTTTTTTTGGTCGGTTTTTATCGGATTTCTAGTAGTGTGTATTTTCCTCATGCCATTTAAAAATAAAACATTTATATGTTGAAAGTTTTGGGAAAAATCACAGTTTTCAAACTTACTCATAAATTGATGATTTCGGTAAAGGATTTGGGTTTTCACTGATATATTTGAAAAGTAGGACTATTTTTCTTGAACTGTGAACGAGCTGAGCATTTTATCTCTGAGCTACTTCTTTTATTACTTCCATTATATTATTATGAACTGTTGTTGGCTATTGGTGTTGGACCCCGACCTGTATTCCAGCTCGTCACTACTTTCAACCTAAGGTTAAGTTTGCTACTTATTGAGTACATGAGGTCGGTTGTACTTATACTACACTTCTGCACCTTGCGTGCATATATTAGATGCTGATGTTGCTGTGATCGATGGGAGCTGGATTTGAAGACGTACATGCATTCCGGTTGTAGCTGCCTCTTGTTCATGGTATCCTTAGATTTATAAAAATCTGTTTATGTGCATTTCGAACAGATGATGTATTTATTTCATATCAACTTTGTAAATTCTAATCTTAGAAACTCATGATTTGTACTACCAGTCCTTAGGGAAATTTTTGTATAAAAGCGGTGTATTAGCATTTCTTATCTTAATAAATTTTATTAAGTTGGACAATAGTTAATTGACTTACCTGACGGGTTGGGTTAGGTGCCATCACGACTAGGTGAATTTTGGGTCGTGATAATTATATATGTTGAATTGTGTATAATCTATGTATATGACTATAAAAAGTAAAGAATGAATATTGCTAGGTATTTGTTTAAAACATAAAAGAAGCCAACAAAAAAAGAAGAAGGGATATTTAGCATATGTACCTTCTTCCCAACCCCTATTGACAAATATATCACGTGACATCACTGTTGAATATTACATTTTTCCTATTGTTTTTAAATTTTTCACCCGATGTTAGGTACATGCATTGGGGCCTAACTAAATTTAAATTCGCACTGAAAAGTTTTATGTTGAGGGGTAAAACGCTCCCTAACAAAGGCGTCCGACACTCCGACTAAATTCGGATTCGTGCCGGGAAGTTCCACTTGAGGGATAATGCGTTTCCTAATAAAAGCAACTTTATACTCAAAGCTCGAATCCGAGATCTCTGATTAAGGATAAAAGAATACTTACCGCTCCACCGTATCTGTTGTTGGTTACATTTTTTCTTTCGTTGAATTCAAAGAAAAGAAAATACTTCTTTACTGTCCATATAGAAGATAATGACATAATTTAATTACATGGAGATAAGAAACCTAAATTCTCACTTCTTCGACAAAAGTCAAATACTAAATATTTAACTTGATGGGTAAGAAATTATAAGCAGGTAGGATTTGCCCACCTCCACCAAATAAAGGTGGAACTAGAAAAAGAAAAATCGATAATCTTTCAAGTAAATAGCTCGGAAATTCATTATTCAAAAGATTGAGTATATCTTTAACATAGTTTGATGTATTTGTTGGAAAAAGCTAATTAGAGCTTTGACCTTTGCTCTGGTATTTAGGAAAATTGTTTAATAGTAAGTTACAATAAATTTGAGTATGATGACTTCTAACCTTGCTACCAATACAATCGTTTAGAGTTAAACCAATACTACTTTTGTTATGAGTTTAACTTTTATACATTAAACCTATAATTTTTTTTTAATAATGTCAGATCACCTAAATAATGTTTACAATTAACTGCCTATATATAAAGAGCGGGATTAGTGATACTTCCAGGAATACAATGCAAATTACTTGCTACAATATACTAAACAATATAGATATAAAAATCACATATATAGTTATTGCATATATGTTGGGGAAAGGGTCAAATTTGCCTATGTGATATCTAAACCGCTCAATTTTGCCATCTGCTATACCCTAATTTGGCCTATTCATACATTTGTCATTAGAAAAAAATCTAGTATTTATTCTTACCATTAAAGAAGCACCAATCAGAAATGAGTAGACTCCATGTATGCAAATTCTTCAAGAAAAATATTTAAATTTACCTCTCAATATTTTACTATGATTTAAATTATAAATAACCATTTCCTCATAACAAGGGTTATATCAGCATCCTTTTTCTTTCTTTTTTCCTCTTTTCTTTTTTTAGTAACAGCCACACTCAGGAGCAGTTAGAGAAGAAGAAGAAGAAGTACCTAATGCTAGGTGGTATCGGACATGGTCAGAAAAGGACAAAAATGATGACAAATTCGATGATGATTTAATTCACAATAATATAATAATAAAAGATATTGAAAGCAGCCAAACTAATGATTTGACAACAAATTAATGCAGCAACAATTGCATGTTTCTTCTGTACAAGGCAAAAAGGGTTTGAATTGTTAATTTAATTTGTTGTGTGTTTTTTGTATACTTTTAATCTGCTGCACCTCGACCTTAAAACTCTTTAAAGGAGGTTAAAATGATATATTAACAAGTTATTTAAAAGATAAATAAATTTCTTTTTTTTTTTGGTGTGAATTTCGCAAAGAATCAATCTACTCGAGATGATTATAACAAATCTGATCCCTATGCAAATAAACTACAACATTTCAAATGCAACTTCACTCAAACTCATGTAACCTTTACTTTTTCTTAGTAAAGTATTGCAACTAATAAATAGAACTTTAGATATAGTCTCAACGAGCAATACTCTCACAATCGCATTGTTGGTTGAATATCTTCCTATTCCTACTTTGTACTCTATGATATTCTAGAACTTTTCTAACTCAATGACCAACAATTAGATTATAAAAAAGGAAAAAGGTTTTTTTTAAAAATTGAAATAAGGATTTAACTTTTGAGTGAAAGTGGCCACAAGCCACTTAGTATACAAAATTTGTATTAGTTGATCTTGGTAGTTAATTTTGATCACATTTTCGAGAAATGGTGACGAAGATATATATCACCTACGTTACTATACATAAACCCGGAACTGTCAGTGTGATTTATAGGTCACATATTCGAGTTATGGACGAATTAATTAGCAATCATTAATGCTCGCATTAGGAGTATAATAGACTGTCTACATCACACCCTTGGGGTGTGGCTTTTTCCCGGACCATGCATGCACACGGAATACCTTATTTATCGGGCTGCCCTTTTTATAAACTTGAAACTACCTACTTCTTATTTTAATTATTTCATATTAAATATTCATGAACACTATAATCCACCCTTCTGTTGAAAAATGTCAAAAAGGTCTCTAAATGACTTATTTTCCATTACTTGCCGTGTTGCTTGAAGCTCTCTCTTTGGATAATAATATCAAGAAATACTTTGACCTTGTGATTTTAAACTAATTTGGAAACATTATTATATATATTTTCCATGCAGTTATAAAAGCCATCACTATACTTACCTTGCTTGATATCTCAAAAACTTCTTCTAAATATTATCTTTCATTTTTCCTAATTTTTGTTTTCTTCATTAAAATTAAATATGGGAAGGTATCCTTGTTGCAAATTAGATGATGATGATGATTTGAAGAAAGGGCCATGGACAGAAGATGAAGATGAGAAACTGATTGATTATATAAAGAAAAATGGTCACACAAATTGGCAATTAATCCCAAGAAAAGCAGGTTTAAAGAGATGTGGAAAGAGTTGCAGATTAAGATGGAATAATTATCTTAGGCCTGATATTAAGAGAGGAGGATTTTCACATGAAGAAGAAGAAATCATCATTAATCTCCATTCTGTTCTTGGAAATAAGTAAGTGTCACAATATTCTTCTTCTTTCTATCTGAAATCCAATTCATAAAAGAAAAATAATCTCAATTATTATGAATAATTACCTGTATACTATAATTATATTTTAAATAATACGACGGTGCAAAAAATATTTACATGATAATATTACACTTTTTCAACAAAGAAATATTTTGATAAATTTAGTTACTTTTTGAAGGGAAAATCCATCGAATAGTTTCTTGTTCTGAGTTCTTTTTTATGGCTTTTTCATGTTAATCACTCGTACTTATTATGAATAGTTATCTGCACACTACAATTGTTTTAGATGATATGACAGTGTAAAAGAAATTTACATAATCATTATATAGAGTTAAACTAAAAAAGAGGGCAACCCGATGCACACCCTTAGGGGTGATGTAGACATTTTACCCTGATGCAAGTATCGGTGACTGATTTCACGATTTGAACCCGTGACTTATAGGTCTTACAGAGACAACTTGATTGTTGCTCCAAGGCCATGTAGAGTTAAACTCTAATTTCTATATTGTGGTTATTATTTGTAGGTGGTCAAGAATTGCAAATCATCTTCCGGGAAGAACTGATAATGAAATAAAGAACTTCTATAACACGCATTTAAAGAAAAAGCTTCTCAAATTGGGAATTGACCCCAAAACACACAAACCAATATCTGATTTCGATTCCCTTCTAAAATTTTCTCATCAATTTACCTCTACTTCCAACTATTTTGTTTCTTTAGCATCTTCCCTTAGATTACAAGCACATTTTACTTTATTAGCCAAAATCCAACAACTTTTACAAAGCCCTCTTTTAGCTATAAATTCAAACTTATTTTCATCAATTCAAGACAATTTTTTAAGCAATCCAAATCCTCCATTATTTGAAAGCCTTAAATATGAGGGTGATCAACCCCAATTCTTGGATTCATCTCTAGCAAATTACATTACAACAATTCCTTGTTTGGATAATACTAATTCACTTCCCAATTATGATTCTTCTATTTCAAATTCTTCGGAAGTCCCTTCAGGAATATCCGATAAAATTGGAACGCTACAAAGAAGATTAGCATCACCGTCCCTGTACAATGACAACATGCAAAAATCGAGAAATGGTTCAAATTCCTCAGAATTATGTCAAGCTAATGAATTGAATTCAAATGAAAATCAAGCTGAAGGACTTGCAATTAGAGCTTCTAATTGCAACTTAAATCAAAATTTTATTCCCACATTTTCAGAGCTAGATGATGATATGGTTGCATGGGAAATACCTCAGGATGATGAAGAAATCAATACCTTTTGGAATACTATTTTCCAATGATTTTCTTTTCATGTGTAGACATGCCTAAATGTCTTGATATTTTGGCTTCCTTTCCTCTCTTTTTTCTGTACAATGTTGTTAAAACTTTTTTTCTTTTTCTTTTGTGTGGAGAGTATTATTTTGATCTGTAATTGTTGGAAATCTATCCATCAATATTATGTTGCCGTCTATGTTGGAGCTGTTTTTTGTTTTTGCTATTTTCATCACATTTTCTCTAACTATTTGTAAAAATAAAGTTGAACTAATATCCATTGACGGTGTAAATAATTTTTACAACTTTCAGGTTACCTTACCTATTGTAACAAGTAGCTTGCCTTATTTTAGATCCCACTTTGTATGGAGGGTTACATGTAGATATATTTTGGATTATCTAATAGTGTAAAATTTTTCTTAAGATTGGCGTATACAAGTTAAACTCTTTTTATTCCTTATTCATGTAAATAACTATCAGGCTACTTTATTTATTGTAACATGTAATTTGCCTTAATTATTTCCCTACAAATCCTACTTTTTATTGAGGGGTTACATGTATATATATTTTTTGGGTTAGCTAATAGTGTAAAATTTTTCACAAGATCAGGGTATACAAATTCAACTCTTTATTTATTCGTGTAAACGATGGATACTTAATTAAGTTGGAAATAAAAAGAGAGTAGGGCTCGACTTTGTTGCTGCGGAGGATACATGCGAGGACCTTAATTCCCTTAATGGCGGAGCCAAAATTTGAAGTATATGGATTCTGAATTTTCCGTCAAATATATTGCTAGTTTTAGTTATTGAGTTCGTATTAAATATTTATATTTAATGAATTTCCTAATACAAATACAAGATCTAATTAAAAGCTACTGAGTTCGTCCGAACCTATACTTAATATTGTAGCTCGGCCCTGAACTAAATAAACTATATAAAGTCAGCACTGTCCCTTTCATTCTTGAATATGCAGTAGTAACTTGTTTGAAGCAACAACTGACTGATTAATTTCCTTTACTTGTTTTGACCATCTATAGGATTTCGTCTTGTTTTAGTTTAATCTCGTTTGTTCATTATTTGGTCTCTTATTCTTTGGAGCAGTTAATAGCTTCATATACTTGACGTAAAAGCAATTCATGCGACTTATACATCTAGCTTCAAAATTCATTGATCATATTATTATTCGTTTTATCCTTAATTAATGAGATAATTTATATTAACATAAATATTTATGGCTTGTTCTAGATCACAAGTTTTAAATAGTTTTTTTAAACTTTGTATACAGTCAAACAACACCTCAAAAATTGGAACAGTTTGGAGTACATAATTGATTAACATAGAGAATTGATTTTCACAATATATATTTTGCACACTGAACTAAGTGGAGTTACAATCAAGACGCGGAAAACAAAAGACAAGCAAAATAAAAAATAAAGAAAAGAAAAAGTCCCATCTACATAAATTTGACTGGCAGTGTTATTCGATATCTGTGCTGATCGGAGAAAGCATGCACCCGATATAATCAGAAACCTTACCCTAAGTTATTGAAATGAACACATAGGGCTAGTGTTAAGGTAAGGTAAACTTGCTAATTGGTAATTAGGAGTTGAGGTTTGAGGATTAATGCTATTAAAATTAAGAATTTCAGGGCTAATTAATCCACCTTGAAAACAAGTCTCTGAATTATCTTGAATGAAATTATTATAGTTATAATATCTATTCATATCATCTTGAATAGGATAATTATTTGGCATAAAAAAATTACTTGGAAATGAAGTAATATTATTAATGGTCTGTAATATAGTTTGAAACTGCAATTGTTGTAATCTTGCTAATTGAGTAAAATCAAGAAGATTGGTCCATGGATTAGTAGAATTATCCATGTTTAAAGTTGGAGAAACTTGAAGAGGATTAATTAGGCAGAAATTAGGAATTGGTTTGTGGGTTTTTGGATCAATTCCTAATAGATTAAGTTTCTTGCTTAGCTTAGTATTCCAATGATTCTTGATCTCATTATCAGTCCTTCCTGGAAGTTGGGAAGCTATTTTGGACCACGTGCAAATAATAAAAGTTAAAATATTCAATAGGCACAGTCAATTAACGTTTGGTCACTGAAATTTATCTCCTATAACATTCAAGTCAAAAAATTATTCACGTTAAAATTAATTAAAATTTATTCAGTATAATAGTAAAATCACTAAACTTTACCAATTGTGCTAGAACAAAGTAACAGAAACGTTATGTTTGTCATATTAAAGTACTAACTGAAACTTTGTCCATTATAATAATAAAGTCATCGAGCTTTACATAGAATAATGACAAAAACTACCACAGATAATTATTGTACTGGATAAAGCTAAGACTTTACTGTTATACTGAATATAGTTTAATAACTTGATCGTCACTTAGAATAGTTTTGTAACGTCATAACTCTTATAATCAGTAATTTCAGTGATCAAACGCGAAAAGTTGTGAAAATGGAATAAAAAGAAGAAGAAAATGAGTTATTGATAGAGAAAAAGTTTACATACTTGTTCCCAAGAGATGAATGGAGATTGATAATGAGATTATCTTCTTCTAGTGAGAAATTTCCGCGTTTAATATCAGGTCTTAAGTAATTAATCCACCTTAATCTGCAACTTTTTCCACACCTATTAAGCCCTGCTTTCTTACACAAAATATTCCATTTTCCTACACCATGAATTTGCACATAATTCATTAGTATTTCATCTTCTTCTTTTGTCCATGCACCTTTATTCAAGCTTCTAATATTGTTGCTGGACATAAATCTTCCCATCTTACAAAACGAACTCTATCTCGAGGAACCCGATGATGAGAATTTCTAATCGTTGGAAAATAATAGTAGACAAGAGAGAGATAATATTTAGAAGGAAAGCTTTAAAAAGATGGATATTGTGCTGGTATTTATGTTATTTTGCATGGGCAGGGAAGCAGCAGGGAAGCAACATCTTTAAAAAGTTTGATATATAAATGTTTTACGACCTTAAGTTGATTAAGTTGAACTATAGCAATTAGCAACACGTACTTTACGATAACCTGAAAAATAAAATAATAATTTGTTATAGAAACATTCAATTGAATTGACAGTGTAATTTGTTTAGACTATCAATGTATATAATATATAAAGAGAAATGTATATTTTTATCCCTTCTAAAAAATAATAGCCGGCATAATATATATATATATTCAATTAATTTCAGACCACAGACCAATTTTATATTTTACCCTAATATAATCTTCTTGTTTTTTTTATCTGCTTTGGCTTCCTAAAAAGTTGCAGCCTTGAAGGTGCTAACTTCATTTAGTTTACTCCATTAAATATTTTGATTTATTTCTTATCGTCAAACTGGTTTGTGTTTTCTAATGTATACAAATGTACGTAGCACAAAATTTCCATCACAAATGAAATGATAAACCTGCATAAAACGTCGTCACCCCCACCCAAGTTTTTAGTAAAATTTATTAGTCGGTTCAACTAGAATTGATGATTCAATCGACCTCAATTTTTTAGTTTTGATTTTCTCTATTAAAAGAATTTTATCCAAATTACTATAGTTTTTATTTCAAATAATGAAACCAATGTCATTAGTATCTAATGAAAGTCCAAGCTAAGATTTAACGTTACGACCACAATAAATCGGTTGTTACATAAAATGACTCTTTTCATTATTGCTTAACAATAAATTTAACAATATAATACAATAAAATTAAAATAAAAAAATTATATTTAAAGTAACAATACAATACAATATACTCTCTAGTTCCAATATATGTGACATACTTTCCTTATTAGTCCTTTCCAAAAAAATGATATATTTCTCTATTTGAAAATAATTTAACTTTAAGCTTCCTTTTACCACTTTACCCTTAATGAGAAGCTTTTAAAGCCACTAAAATTCAATTACACAAATATTTTGGCCTTTAAGCTTCTAAGTCTTTTTTTTTTCTTTCTGAAATGTCATGCCTAATTAAATTACATCACATAAATAGAAACAAAAGGACTAATGGGTAACTGTATAGGGTAAAATCGTTTTACATTAAATACTCGAATGACAGAGTGACACGTGAAACCGGGGTATAACGACCCGACCGGTCGTTTTGAGCTCTAGCGCATCGTTCGGTGGTTTGAGGCCTTGAGTAGCGTCACTTCAGGTATTATGACTTGTACGTATGGTGAGAATTGAACTTTGGGAAGTTCAGAGTTGATTTGGAAAGAAAATTCTAATTTCGGAAGCCTTAAGTTGGAAGAATTGGATAAGATTTGACTTTTGAGTAAAAGACTTTGGAATCAGGATTTGAAGGTCGCAATAGGTTCGTATGATAATTTCGGACTTGTGTGTGTGTTTGGATTGAGTATCGAAACACCCGAGAGCATTTCGGTACTTATTATGGAAGGTTGAAATTTTGAAGGTTTAAGAATTTTTTAAATTTGGTTTGAAGTGAATTTTAATGTTATCGACATCCGAACCTTGGAATAGATTCGTGATGTCATTTTTGACTCGTGTGTGAAATTTGAAGTCATTCCGGATTGATTTGATACGTTTCGGCATAAGATATAGAATTTGAAAATTTGAAAATTTATAAGTTTGATTCAAGGCGCGATTCATGATTTTGATGATTATTGACGTGGTTTAAGGCTTTGATTAAGTTCATATTGTATTTTGGGACGTGTTGGTATATTTGGTCAAGGTCCCGGGGGCCTCAGGTGGATTTCGGATGGTTAACGGATCGAATTTGAACTTAAGGGAAAAGCTGGAGGGTTCTGGTTGCTGGTGCAACCGCTTCTGCGGAAGCTTCATCGCAGAAGCGGCCTCATAGAAGCGAGGCAGTGGACCGCAGAAGCGGCTAGAAGGGAGCTGAGAAAAGGCCGCAGGTGCGAAGGAATTTCCGTATATGTGTGACCGCAGAAGGGCCCAGGGGTCGTAGAAACGATATAGAGTGAGGCATGCTGGAGGTGCATGTGCGAGGATTGTGCCATATCTGTGAGACCGCAGAAGCGGATTCTTGGTCGCAAGTGCGACTCCGTAGATGTGAAGGCGGGGGGGAGGGGGGGGGCTGAAGGGGGGCCGTAGAAGCAGTATTTTGGCCTCACCTGCGGAACCGCATAAATGGTCAAGTGGCCACAAGTGCGAGAGGTCGCTGGGCAATGTGGTTTTTTAAGAATTGAAGTGGGCCCATTTTCTTCCATTTTCACTTGG